GAAGTAGGTGCAATCAATCAAACAAGGAAAAGAGAAATCCCAAAATAGTACACCAGCCTCATAGGAAACCTCACAGCCATAGCACATATACAAGACAGGACAACAGAAACCACTGACAACTACAGAACCTTCAATCAAGGCAAACCTTTGGTTTAAATAGACACACACAAACCATACTGGAGTGACACATTCAAACACCAGCAGAAATTATAGGTAGGAAAAAATGAAACACCAGTCCCAACTCAGTCACTTATACACACTATACAAGAACTACAGGGGCATCCCCACTAGAGAGATGCAGAGGTTGCACAATAAGAGAAAGAGACACATTACCAGAATCATGCACATACTCAGCAAGAAAGCAACACACCATCCAGATCCCAGTGTAAAGATCAAACATATTATCCAGGGAAAATACAGAGAGCCTGGCAACCAAACTAAGATGCAGAATATCCCCGGAATTCATAACAAAGAAACTGAGAGACCTAACAGGAACTCCACAGGAAGACGACTCATATCTTAAGCTACAGATAAATATAGGAAAACCAGGCCTAATATACATTAACAAAATACTCAGCCTAGGAGCTTCAGAGCTAGAAGAACTAAGAGCCATATAGCACCAGCTCAAAGACCACTGACAGGTAACAATGTACATAGATGGCTCAGTATATGATCATGGCAATAGACTACACATGGGCTTTGACTGGGTCATCAAGGATAAAGAAGAGAGAAAACACACCTTCCAGGGACAGACTCAACTACATGCATCATTTATAAGAACAGAGCTCATGGCCATAGTAACAGCAATCAGCACTTTGGACAGGAGTACTACAGTCTAGCTTTACACAGACAGCCTTAATGCAATAATCGACCTAGTAGAAACAGTAGGCAACCATTGATCAAGAAAGAAACAACACCAAAACCAAACAATCCTAGATACATACTGCTACATAAAAAAGCACCAGGGCCTAACCATAATATTCCACAAGGTCAAAGTACACACAGGCATTCCTCTTAACGAAAAAGTAGACAAACTATTCAAAATCAACCCACATCACAAAATATGAAACCCAACAGGAAGATCATCAACATCAGGGAACATCACCAGGGATTACCACTGATCAGTATTCAATGGGACCAAACACTAACAGATATACCAGGGAAGAACATGGCAAAACAAATCAACAGAGCCATAAGACTCGCCAGGTGGAGACTACTCAACAGAACCCAGAACAGCGTCACAGAGAAGGACTTCAGGGACATACACTAGCAACATATCTTCGACAGCCTACACCCCTCTAATATAGAAGAACGGATAACCTCAAACAAGAATCACCACTTAAGAAAGTTCAGCTTTAATCTCTGATACGAAAAACTATCAACCAGGAGCAAACTGCATAGTAGATACCCTTCAACCTGCAGGGATAGCAAATATCACAACTACAAAGAAACAGAAGACACTACTCATCCCTTCATATGTAGCAACCAGGAAGACACTCTGAGGAAGAACTTTCACCGAATCCTAATAAAACACATATCAACACATATTCGCAAAAAACACAAGAAAAATTTCAAGAACACCATACAACAACACATCCATCTGAAAACATCTAGAACCCTCAAGATACTCATTAGAAAAGTAGTTATAAAAGAAATTCCAGGAACACTCAATAGACTGATAGCTAGCAACAAGGTGATCACAATGTCGATCATCAACACAATGAGAGAGTGGAAAGAACTTCTACATGACATATAAAAAGTACACTGTAAAAAAACTCATACACAAGCTCCAAGCCCACCAACAAACAAGATAGCAAAACGAACTAAATGAACACAAGACAAGCAAAAACAGATCCAAAACAATCCAATCAGTCAAATAACAAAGGATCAGAATGAAAGTTTGATCAGGATAGTCAACAGCTACATAAACGAATACATAAAGTACAATACTAACATTTTCACATTATTATCATATCACCCAACAACTAGCACGGCTTTGGCATGTTAGTTTTCTTTCCCCCGAGGAAAGGGCAACAAGCCACAAGATAGTTCATAGCTTATCGAGTTTTGTTATTACTGAAACCACATCTCTGTACCTTAGCACTAGCTATACTGTATAAATGTAATTGGAAAACAAAAATAAAATAAGGCTGAGCCAGTTTAAAAAAAAAAAAAAATTTAATATTGAGCTTTATAAATTTTTATATTATATTTATTAAACTAGTCTATATAGATATACTTAATATAATTTATTTTACTTTTAATATTCTCAAATATTATTTGCTTAGATCTCAGAAGAAAATACTTTACCTTCTTTGTTACCATCTATGGTATTAAATCAACTTTAGTTAACTGATTTTTATTTAAATTGAGCACTATATTGAAATATTCTGAACTAGAAGAGTAGATTCTAAAGATTGTCAGGGCAGGATAATCTTTGGAATATTTATAATAGTCTATATTAGAAATCTTTTTTCATGCAATTCTTTTAGTAATATGATCATAGATATCAAACTCTAATTAACAGAAGATCAGAAGTCACATTTTTATGCAATCTAACTAGATTTTAAACTTGTTTCAAATAATTTGATATGAGCTTTACAGGATAACCAGCAAATCTAATTAGAAGAGTAATTTTTGATTTTGTTCCTTAAGTGATATTGAACTACAGATCTTGTGATTGCAACCTATATCTTCAAATATATTTATTGTATCTTTGTTCATTAAAAATGAATCTGACCAGAATGATAGAAAACAAAAATCATAGCATGAACAAATAATAACTTTTTTGCCACCTGAAAACTTAATGCTCATAGCTTATTAGCTTAATAGAACTTTATGTGTAGGTTAATCTATTTGAAGGGATGAAATATCAATAAACTCTTTCTATCACCTTTAATATTCCATATCTAGTGTACAAACACCTTAGCAAAGACACTCTAGACACTATTACCATATTTTTCAACATATTTTTATTCACAAATAACTGCCCAAAAATGGAAAAAGATACTATTTACCCTATACGAAAACCAAAAGAGTGCTATAAATATCAATATAACAAGATTAATCACTCTACTTAAATTCATAAAAAAATTCTTCATTAAGCTAATCAACAACAGACTGGTCAAAATAATGATCCAACATTCTATTCTATTTGAGAACAACTGGATAAAACAAATTCAGAAACAGTACTTATAAACTGATTACATTATTAACCAAATTCTTAAAGATGCTAGAAAACAGAACAGTGCTACATGCTATTCAAGACATGAATAAAATATATGATATATTAAATCTATTAAGACTTATAGTAAAATAAAATATATAAATATAGAATATTTTATTTAATATTTTATACCATAAAGTGTATATAGTCCTTTTTAAATATAAATTTATACTATTTATAAAATAAACTAAAATATAATAATTTTTCAAAAAATTATTAAAAAAAAAGTACAATTATATCATATTTTGGGAATAATACAATGTATACTTAATTATAGAGTATATAATAAAAATCTATCTAAAAAAAGTTAATATATATATATAAAAATTTGATACTTTATAATATATTTAAACAAAATAGTTTTATAACAAACTCTTAAAGATAAATTTTCAAAATAAAACTTAATAAATTATTTTCCAATGTAATAAAAAAGTAATACAAATAAGTTAAAAAATATTCAAACTGTAAGCAAAAGATCTTATCTGTAACTTATTTTACAATAATAATATTTCAGTAATATTTAAAGAAATTAAGCAAAAGATTAAAATTATCAATATAACTCTTATTTGCTATATATAAACAACTACAGTATATAGATTATTTAAAAAATTATAGATATTATTATTATATATGAAGGAAACAAAGAATTATTAGAAGATTTGAACAATTATTCAATTAATAAAGAAATAATAAGTGTCATCCATAATATAGCAAGCAAATGATCTAGCAGCAAAAATTTATCAAGATTATAAGCAATTTTTAAGAGTTCTTATATTTGAGATAAAAATAGCAAAGAAAATATATTGAGTTTATTTATTAAATTTATATTGTTGAGATTTATTCATATGTATAATAGTTTCTGATTTTAGTTCATTAAACTATTTAGAACTATATTATTTTTATTATTTTTTTTCGTTTCTTTAAATAATAACTTTTGATTTATTATAACTCTTCAATAAAATTGGTCTCTAAATAAGGAGGTGGGGACAAAAGTAAAATGTCACCTACTAGAAAAAATTAAAATTTTAATTATAACTAAAAAACGGATAACAATAATTCTTTGTTGTCTAAATCATAAATTTATAGTATTTTACGAACTTTATCTCTTAAAGTAAAAAGCCTTAAATTTTGTCCTTCAAAATGTGACATATGTGATTAGCAAAATTTTATATGCTAATTGGATTTATCGTTACTTTTCGATATTTCATCTTTCCTGTTTTGCATGAAAACAAATTGCAAAGTAAATGTTTCTTTTAACAAATAAGTATAATCGTAACGTTATTAGATATTCAGTTTTATAGTATATAATTGAATTATTTCACTTACAATGACTTAGGATTGTGGTCGTTTTTTTTAAAAAAAATTATTTTAGCATCCTGGTAATTATTCGAATAATTTTCCATAATCGCGCCGCATTATCATTTTAAAGCATAATACTGCGATAATATTATATATTTATTTCCTAATATTACAATAATTATAAATTGTTTAAGTAATAAAGTTTGTATCATGCATTTAAAAATATTAAGTTTACATTTTTAAATAATTGCGGATTTATATTATTATTTGAAAAATATAATAAACTTAAAAAAATATATATTTCACATTTCTTTTCACAACTTATAGCCAATATATTATGGAATTTCGAAATTTGCCAATACAGAATCTAAAGCTTTAGAAAATTTTTGTTGATGTTCAATTATAAAAAAGATATCATTTTTCAGTTTTGTAAAAAAATAAGCATTATTATTTTGCATATATAACGGCACAATACCTTCTAATGATCTACTTGTATAGAACGCTTCAGAGTGTTTTACTATATAGGAACTTTGCTGCGGTTCTTCCATTAAACGTTTTCGAAGTTCCTCGGAATTATAAAAATCATTTATATCATCCATGTCAAAAAACCATTTGGAAAATTGATCCACAATTTCAGTCATAGTTGGTCTGTCAGATGGTTCGGAGCTCCAGCACTTATTAATTAAATTAGAGAAAGGCAGTGGCGTATCTCTGGTAATATCAGGTCTCAATCCATTTATAATTTCATACATAAGTAGGAAATCATGCGGTCTATTTTCAAATGGTTTGTGACATGATGTAAATTCCCACATTAAAATTCCGAAGCTATAAACGTCAGATGCAAAATTTGGTGGCTTTATTTGTAAAACCTCAGGTGCTAGATAAGGCAGCATTCCGTGAACTTTTTCAGATTCAGCTTTGGAAAGAGTTTCTCTACATAAACCTAGATCAGCTATTCTCACAGATCCTAAAATTCCATTAACTCCAAGTAGTATATTTCCTGAATGAATGTCGCAATGAATCAATCCTTTCGCATGAATCTGATCAAGACTATAAAATAATTAAATTAGTCTTATATAAATAATCAAATATATTTTAATTTAAAATATTACCCAGTAGCAATATAATATAATTTTTCTATCTTATCCCTCCATGTAATATTCTTGGAATTTTTTGATAAATAATTATGCAAACTTCCATCTTCTGCATATTCCAGTATAAAGATATTTTCTTTTGTGATTGGGTCCTTTGTAACACCAAAGCATTGAACAATAAAACTTTCACTATTCACTATTCTATGTGATATCAACTATAATATGAAAAAAATAGTCATTAATAGTTAGATTAATAAAATCAAAAATAAAAACATGCCTCTTTCAAGAAATTAGTGGTACAATTGCGTAAAATTTTGAGAGCCACTTTAACTGTTATTCCTGATTTCTGAACATATACCGCCTTTTCTACCCTGCCAAATCCACCTACAGCCAAAAGTTCTCTATTTTTCAATTGAGAATATGGAACCCATTCTATTATGTCTCCATTTTCCAATATGTCGTAATCGTCACTTACAGCCAAAGATTCTCCATTTTCCAATATGTCGTAATCATCACCTACAGCAAAAGGTTCTCGATTTTTCAATTGAGAATTTGGATCCGATTTTATCGCGTCATCATTTTCCATTATACCGTAATCGTCACCTACTAATGTAATGCCACGAATAAAGTAGTAAAGAACGTTGATAATCTAGTGGGAATGCTTTTTGCAAATTAAATATTCAAAGTTTTTATATTAATTTACATTACAATAGAAAATATGATCGCAAAACTTACCAATATATTCAATTTCAGAATTCATGGGCTGTGGAAGATCTTTAAAATTAAGAAGTCGACTAGTATAAATAGCTGATGGATGTTTTTCAAATGCCACATTATTATATAAAGAATATAGTGTCGCATTTTCATTAATCTGCTTATAGAGTTCCGAATTATTGTATATTTCATAATCACACCATGCTCGTAAAATACCGCGCAGTTCGTAAGAAATTAAGCGTTCATGGAAAACGGCATCTAAACACTTTTGCATCAATTGGACTATTAATATAGGGGTGTTTCTTGGAATTATAGGTCTTTTACCAAGGCAAATTACATTCGCAAGATTTTGATCGTGTGGAATATTGTGAAAAGGAGGAATCCCAGATATAATTTCGGACATAATAATCCCGAATGCATAAACATCAGCTGCTTCTGTATACTCTTCACCACTTAAAACTTCCGGTGCTACATATGGAAGTACACCATGTAATTGTGCGTTAAATTTGCTATTGCCATATTCATTAGCTGGTTTGCATAGGCCTAAATCGGCAATATAAATTATTCTTTCTTTAATATTAGAAAAAAGAATATTTCCGCTATGAAAATCGCGATGAACTAATTTGGCTTTGTGCATCTGATATAAACCTTCAGATATTCGTCTTAAACTAATTAATTTGTCTTTCCACGACATCTTTCTGAATTCTGCTAAGTTCTTTCCAAGAGTATTATCTGCCATTAATTGCATCACCATCATGAAGTCCTTCGTTTCCTCATGTTGCGTGATCCCATAGCATCTGACGATGTGAGAATAATCATCTGTACAGTTAAGGTTGTTTCTTATCTATATAATAAATAAATTTAATGCACATTTAAAATAGAAATAAATTATTCAAAAATTGTAATCACCGTATTCAAGAGACAATTGGTGATATCTTTAGAATCGTTAAGACTCTTCAGAGCAACCTTCATAGCACCTTTTCTTTTCCATTGACCAACATTTGCATTCCAAAAAAGAATATATCCTTCAGTCCATTCTGCTGAAAAAACCTTTCCATGACCACCTTCACCTATATTATTTTCATCAACCTTGAAATTTGAATATGGAATCCACTCGACTACCTTTTCAAACCTGTCTGCATCTAGCTGAATTTCTTTTATAAACTTGTCAACGACTTCATTACCACTTTGCCAATTGTCAAATTCTTCTTTAAATCGGGATAAATTGCATAGCCTGCACCAACGAGGATATATTACTTTTTTTTTACATTGATTACAAGTATCTATAATTAAAATAAAATTAATAATACGTAATATAAGCAGCACAGCTAAAGCAATTCTCTTCGTAATTTAAGAGCAAAATTTAGAAAATATGCTTGTAAAAACTTACCTACAAGACGACGATCGATAACCTAGTTAAATCATTTTTCGAAACAATTAAAAAATATGCTTACATAAACTTACCATCTGCAATATTATAAAAATGATTTTATCGGAATTTGCGAAACAAAGTTAGAAAATGTGCTTGTGAAAACTTACCTATAAGATCAACGATCGATAACATAGTTAAAGCACTTTTCGTAACAATTTCAAAAAAATTTTAAAATATGCTTGCATAAACTTACAGACTATAAATCGACAATAGATAATATAGTTAAATCATTTTCTTCAGAATTTGCGAAATAAATTTAGAAAATATGCTTGCGGAAACTTGCCTATAAGATAGAAGATCGATAACATAGTTAAAGCACTTTTCGTAAGAATTTTGAAATAATTTGAAATATGCTTGAGTAAACTTACTATCTTCGATATCATAAGGATAATATAGTTAAATCATATTTCTTCAGAATTAGCGAAACAAATTTAGAAAATGTGCCTGTGAAAACTTACCGATAAGATCGACGATCGATAACATAGTTAAAGCACTTTTCGTAAGAATTTCGAAACAATTTAAAAATATGCTTGCATGAACTAACCATCTGTAATATGATAAAAACAATATAATTAAATCATTTTTCTTCAGAATTTGCAAACAAATTTAGAAAATATACCTATGAAAACTTACCTATAAGATCGAAGATCGATAAAATAGTTAAAGCACTGTTCATAATAATTTCGAAACAATTTGAAAATTACTTGCATAAACTTCCCATCTGCAATATCATAAAGATAATATAGTTAAATCATTTTTCTTCAGAATTTGCGAACAAAATTTAGAAAATATGCTTGTGTAAACATACCTAAGATCGACGATCGATAACATAGTTAAAGCACTTTTCGTAAGAATTTCAAACCAATTTAAAAATATGCTTGCATAAACATACAGTCTATAAGTAAACAATAGATAATAAAGTTAAATCATTTTTCTTCAGAATTTACGAAACAAATTTAGAAAATATGCTTGTGAAAACTTACCTAT